CTGATATGTTCTTGGATTCGGTTGGCCAATATTTTATTGAGTATTTTAGCATCGATGTTCATGAGGGATATCGGTCTGTAGTTCTCTTTCTTAGTCCTATCTTTGTGTGGCTTGGGTATCGAAGTAATTGTAGCCTCGTAGAAAGAGTTTGGTAATATTCCATCTGCTTCTATTGTGTGGAACAGTTTGAGGAGTACTGGAATTAGCTCTTGTTTCAATTTCTGGTAGAATTCTGCAGTGAAGCCATCTGGCCCTGGGCTTTTTTTGGTTGGGAGGCTTTTGATTACTGCTTCTATCTCATTAGGGGTTATAATTCGATTTAAACTGTTTATCTGATCTTGATTTAATTTTGGTAAGTGATATTTATCCAGAAAGTTGTCCATTTCCTTTAGGTTTTCCAATTTTGTGGAATACAGGTTTTCAAAGTATGACCTAAAGATTCTCTGGATTTCCTCAGTGTCCGTTGTTATGTCTCCCTTTTCATTTCTGATTTTGTTAATTAGCATGCTCTCTCTCTGCCTTTTGGTTAGTTTGGCTAGAGGCTTGTCTATCTTGTTGATCTTCTCAAAGAACCAACTCTTTGTTTCATTGATTCTTTGTACTGTTTTCCTAGTTTCTACTTTGTTGATTTCGGCGCTCAGGTTGATTATTTCCTGGCGTCTACTCCTCCTTGGTGAGTTTGCTTCTTTGTTCTCTAAAGCTTTCAGTTGTTCTGCCAATTCTAACGTCTAGTCTAGAAAAGTCTAACCATGTAAAATTACAATCTGGATTTAAAATAGATTTGAGGTATGTTTTGAACAAACATAGCTTATCATTTTAAGTCTATAATTAAGTTTCATGATATTAAATCTATAATATTCAATAAAATTATAGGAGTCAGGTAGGGGAGGAGGTTTGGGGGTGGGGGGAGGGAGAGGGAGAAGGGACTTGAAATAAGCTTCTTCCCTAACTAGAACTAATAAAATAAAAAAAAAAGAAATGTTCCTAAATCTTATGTCCAATGATGAAATCTTATCTACATTAGAAAAGAAAATACTCTTGCAATTCAGTAATAGAACTAAGGAGTAAACCTTCACTAAATTGACAGAATGGGGACCATAAAAATGGCTCAGGAGGTAAGGACACTCACTTGCTGCCAAGTCCTGATGACCACTGGGGCCCACATGGTGGAATGGCATTGACTCTTAAGTTACTTACCCTTTGACCTCCAAATACCAACCGTGGCATGTGCCTCCCCCAATAAGAGATTTTTGACTGACAGAATGCTTCAAAATAATATCTAACTGAGCCTCATGAGTTAAATCTAAGCTAAAATTTGACCCCAAAAGATTACAGATTAGCCAGAAGCATGGAAAGTTAGTAAGGTCGGAGAAATGAAAGGAAATACACAAAGCAACCAAAAGACTTGAGTTCTTTTTTTCCCAGTTTTTATTTTTCTCCTGACTGTAAAAGGGATAAATATGTGTCTCTATAAAAACTTAGAAACATAAAAATATAAAGGTTATTTTTCTAATCTTTTATTATATACATGTGTATACAACATTAATTTGTAAATATGTACCAATACTAGCAACCTCAATTATCAGTGAATGGAAAAACTGGGTTTTGTTTTCAAAATAGGTAAGACATAATAGGTTAATAAATAAACCAATGGGATTTGGAATTAATAATTTGGTAAAGCCAGGTAACACCAAATCAGAGCCCACAGCAGGAGAAGTTAAGCATGAGAAACTAGCAAGGCATGTAGAGCTTGGAAGGCTGAAGACAGAGAATGAGACCCTGCTCAGACAATAAAAAATGTCCATGCCAAAGCCAAGAGCAAAGAGCATTTCCTACATTCTAATCACGAGCTTCAAGAGAAACGAATCTGTGTAGCAGGTCTCCTGGTCTGCTGTACCTTGATGGTTTGCTTGCCCAAAGAAAAACTGTTACATGGAAAGAACCTTACAGCTTTTGTATATTTAGGAATGTTTCACGTTCTTAACTCACATTTCAAGTTTTGATCAATACAGGATACTAAGCTTAAACTTTTTTTTCTTTTAGTGCTTTGAATTCTGGCCAACTGCCTTTTGGTCTACATAGTTTCTCTAGGAATTCCGCCTATTCTCTAACTGAGGTTCCCTCTCTTTTCACTTTTAACATTATGTGTCTTTGGTTTTTCTAAATCTGCTTATGATTTGTTGTAGAATGTTCCTCTTGCATGAGGTTCAATGGGTTCTCAAACACTGGCACTCCTGCCTTCCTTCACATCTCAGGGTTTCCAGCAATGGTTTCTTCAGACGTTTCTCGCTGTCCCTTTCTTCCTCTTTTCCTTCTGGTATCTAGACAGTGAGCACACCTAGTCCACCCAATGGTGTTCCACACCACCACTCCCTTTCAGTCTTTGTTCTTTCTAGTCCTCAGATTTGCTACTCTGCCTTGTTCTGTCTCAAGTTTCCTGTGTTTTTTGTTTGTTTGTTTGCTTGCTTGCTTTTTTCTTTAAAGGCAGCTGCCTTTAAATTCCCTAGTGAATTTTTCACCTCAGGAATTGTTCATTTCAGTTACAGAAATTTCTTTTTGCCTTTTTATTTCAATTATTTTTATACATTTTCCTGTACATCTCCCAGTGTTACTTTCCTCTAAACTTCTACCAAACTTTCTGTTGTTCACTCTTAGGTCACCGATCATTTAAGGTAGACTTTGTTTGCTTTTCCTTTTATCTAAAATGATTTTTCTTTCACTTACAAATTTTCCTGAGTTTTAAGAATCTTTTTTTTAAAGATTTTATTTATTTATTATGTATACAACATTCTGCTTTCATGTATATCTGCCCACCAGAGGAGGGCACCAGATCTCATAACAGATGGTTGTGAGCCACCATGTGGTTGCTGGGAATTGAACTCAGGACCTCTGGAAGAGCAGTCAGTGCTCTTAACCTCTGAGCCATCTCTCCAGTCCCGAGTTTTTTGTTTGTTTGTTTTGTTTTTTGTTTTTGTTTTTGTTTTTTCTGTTAGTAATTACTGGTGTTTTATTTATTATTTCTCACATAGAATTCCCTCCCCATCATGAGTTTAGTCACACTGAATTGATATGAGGAAGAATTGGAATCTGGCTACATGCCACAGGCTCAGTACTCCAGCCCTGAGTTTTAAGAATCTTATTTCAGAACTTTTGTAATGTTACATTTTCCTTTACATGTTATACTGGTTTCTCATTAATTTTTGGTCATATTTAAACAAAGGTTTGCCCTCTTCTATGCTGAAGTTTTCTGGAGTGTTGTGTGGGTGTGTATGTGTCTGTGTGTCTGTCTCTGTGTGTGTGTGTGTTCTGTTCCTTATTCTTATTCTTTTTCCCTTTGAAATAACTTTAAATGGCATTTCATTTGATACTTTTCCGATTCTCCTTTGTCAAATTATTTTCTCTGAACTTTTAAAAAGAAAGCACTATTTAAGGTAGTTTTCCAACTTCACAATGCATCCTCCTTGTTCCTGTGATGCTCAAAACTATGGCATCTTAGTTTCTGAGAACCACTAGCTGTCCCCTTCCCATCCTTGAAAACTCCTCCTTCTTCCCCTTCATTTCTCCCTGTTCTGTTGTCCCTTTCTGTGCAATTGTGGATCAGTTCTTCAGTTCTCCTATACAATGTATTTCCATTCAGTGCAGTCCCCTAACTTGAGTAAGAACTCTGGCATTACCATTTTCAAAGAGTTCACTGAGGTTAAACTGCTAACTACAACTGTGGACACACTACACTTGCCAGATATTTGAGCGACCAGTCACTTATGCTCCATATCTCCTATCAATCCTTTTGGTGGGAAGGGTGGGTAGGGAGGGGTTTGAAACAGGGTCTCTGAGTAGCCCTGGCAGTCCTGGAACTCAACTCCATAGACCAAGCTAGCCTTGAAATCAAGAGATCCTCCTGTCAATCAATCTTAATAGGCGCCACATCCTGCTGTCCCTCAGAGTTGAGGTTTTTGTGGAGCTTCCCTACTTTCAAGTCCTATGAGATACCACGTGGTTACCTTCCCGCTCAGCCCAGCACAGAGAGTGACACCACACCACCTTCCCACTCAGCCCAGCACAGAGAGTGACACCACACCCCTTCCCGCTCAGCCCAGCACACCATGTCACCTCCCTGCTCACTCCTACATAGGGATACCATCCTGCACAGTCAGTCACACAATGTTATTTTCCTGCTCACCCCTGCATAGAGAGTTGTGGTGACATATTATTTATGATTTAATAAAGATTGCCCAAAGTATCAGAAAGCAAAGCTAGCCACAGCAATACAGCCAGGCAGTGGTGGTACACACCTTTAATCCCAGGACTCAAGAGACAAGCAGATGAATCTCTGTTAGTTCAAGGCCATACTGAGCTACACGAAATTAATACAGTCTAAAAGAGAAACAGCTCTCACAATGGAGATCGCAGTAAAAGTGCACACCTTTAATCCCAGGATTTGACAGGTATAAAAGAAAGAAATAAAGTCAGACTAAAAAGATTTATTCTCCAGCCACACTGAGGAGAGGACAGCTTTTTCAGCCTGAGGTAGAGGTAAGAGCTAGTGGCTGGCTACTTTTCTTTTCTGATCTTCAGCTTGAAGCTTGAGCCCCAATATCTGTCTCTGGGTTTATATATCCATGTTACAGAGAACGATGCCATGTTACCTCTCTGCTCACCCCTGCATAGACAGTGTTGCCTCTATGCTGGCCTCAGATCCAACTGCTTCTGCATCGAGTGCTAGGATTAAAGATGTGCACCCAGACAGCCAGCACTTTTTTTCTAAGCAAAGCTTCACTAAGTCTGCATGTTCAAAATGTTTATGACAACACATGAGAAATATAACTACATGGAAGTGAGGAGGTTGAACACGTTCATGCACGTATATATACATCCTGCAAATGCCTGTGACTCCAGGTCTGAGGCTTCCAAAGTCATCTTCTGCCTCCACATCCCCATATGTGCACATAACTCATGCAGTCAAATACATAAGATTCAATTTTAAAACAAGGCAATCTTACCGATTTGTTCCATCCAGGTTTGATTTGTGGATGAAATTAAGTTTTGCATCTGCCCAATAAAGCTTCCGTTCCTCATAATCCAGGGTCAGTCCATTTGGCCAGTAAATTTCAGTGTTTATTACAACAAAGCGATTTGAACCATCCATTCCAGCACGCTCTATCTTTGGCACTTCTCCCCAGTCTGTCCAGTACATGAACCTAAAAATTATTAAAAAGAAAAATTAAAGCCATGACATAAATAACCACAAAATATTTGTAATTACTACTATTGCACAAAGCTCTCTCAGAAACAAGAAGCTGAAAATAAACCCTAGAAATCTTTTTTCCCACATTTTAATAATCTACTACTTGAAACCAATATACAAATGTACCCAATATACACAAGGAACACCAGGAGTGCAAAACCAGAGGTCAGAGTTTATTTGCAAAACAACATTTACACTGTACCACTGTACATCCCACAGATTGCTTATTAACAAGGAGAAGATGGCAACTGCAGAGAAAGAAAGTCTGGACGACAATACCAAAAACAAGCTGCCTATGTTAACATCAATAAGAGACAGAACTGACAGGACCACCTCTCACTGTGGGGTATTGAAAACAAGGCACCTTTTGTGTAGTTTTACATCTTACTCCTGACCACCCCCAGGGTAAAGCCTAGCCTCAGTTAAACTGTACATAAAGAGCCCAATTGGAGGCACACTCTATAAAAAATGGCCTCTTGACGATACTGACATCATGAAAGTCACAAAAAGGCTAAGGAGCCAGACTAGAGGGGACCAAAGATGATAACTAAATGAAATCTAATGTTCTCATTACAGAAGGAAAAATAATTTTCCTTGACATAAAGGAAAACTGCTATCAATTAACAGCACATCTTTTAAGAAAGCTAATAGAGATACTATGAACTCTGAATGAAGAGGCATGCAGGCTAGAATGATGTCTCAGCAAGTAAAGACACTTCCTATCAAGCGTGACAACCTGAGTTCCAGCCCCAGAATCCACATGGTAGATAGGAGAGTAAACTCCCATAAACCATCTATGAACCCCGAATAAGGACTACAGAATTTGTATACTCCATGCACACACAATGTTTAAGTTTAAATACAAGGCAGTCAAAAAATATGTTAAAACCCAAAGGGAATTCAAGTATGGAGACAATGGCAGTTAATTGCCTGTGTTGGCATCTCCTGGCACGGTCGCTCATGCATACAGTGCCTAATCAAAAGAAAGCACCTGACTTATGTATCATTTCCAACACGCTTAGGAAATATTCATTGTTCCATACTATAGATCAAACAAGAAAGCCCAGAAAATTTACAATGGAGAAGAGAAATCCAAACAAAACTCTCTGATCCTAAAGCCAATGTTCATGCTATAGGCTTGGTGTTTAAGGACGAGAAAGCAAGCAGATTCTTCCTAAATTAAGGGTGATGACTGGACACTGTCTAGACTGGGTAAGAGACGGACTAGCTATGTAACATGATAAAGTTACGTAGGAAGGCAGGCAGGCCATGTTTCTCTTAAGGGTTTCTGCTCTAAGAGCAACATGAAGACACTTGGAGATTTTTAAGTTGAAGACCAGATGGCCAACTTTGTGTTTCGGGGCAAGTAGGGGGAAGTAGAGACCAGAGGCAGCCAGAAGACTGATAATGAGAGCGAAGCTTCCACAGTCTTACCATGGTTGCCAGTGTTTTCATCTTTCGACAGCATTTTCAGTAATATTATCTAAGGAATCTGCATCTAAACTCAAGCTGCTTGTAGGTGTTTTCACTTTTATATGTAAGTCTGTGGTTGATTTTATTTCTAAAGAGTATTTAAATGATATGGATGTTGTCTCAATTGTGACTATGCTTGCCTTGAACTCAATGCAGCACAGACTATACTCAACTCATGGTGTAATTACTGCTGACATTACAGGCAGCCAGGCACCACCACAGTGGGCTGTTGCTATCTACTTTTATTTTTCTTTGAGACTGTCTCATGCAGGCTGGCCTCAAATTGACTTTGTAGCTGAGGATGACTTTGAACACCTAATTCTCTTGTTTCCACCTCCCAAATACTGGGATTACTACTGGCCTGAGCTACCATGCTAGGTTTGTATTCTATTCTGTTACTTTATTTATACAACATACATACATACATACATACATACATACATACATACATACATCATACATACATCATAAGCTACCTTGATTATTACAGCTAACCAAAGTTGAAATCAGAATTAGATTAGAACTGTGAAGTTCTATTGTTATAGACTACTTCCTCTAACAACCTACCTCTAAGACTTCAGTACCTTCCACCGCTACCACTAGGTTATGAATGTTTTAATGGATAGACTGGTTAAGCCATATCTCTTATGAGCCTGTCACCTCTGAACACTATTAAATCAGTGACCAGGCCTTCAACATACAAGCCTTTTAAAGGACCCTTTATATCTAAATTTTAACAAGTAATAAACTAGGTAAAAAGATCTGAAGCGATATATATGATAAAGAATTTTACTCAGATCAATATGAAGGCAATCAATGACACATTAACTAGAAAGCAATGGTATCCAGCTCAGTGAGCGCTTGTAAAAGTCCTAGATGTAATTCCAATGTTGTTTAAAAAAAAAAAAAAAAAGTTGGGTGGACAAAAAGAGACTTAGACAGCCATTTCATCAGATATACAAAACGCTAATCCGGACTTGAAAACAGGAGTAACCATATTTTTTAAAGTTTTGACAAGGATGTGGTATGGTGGGGATATAAGATGGTATGGACACGTTAAAAGAAAAAAAGTTAAACCTGAATTTGTCAGATAACCCAGCAATTTCTCTACCCAAGAAATAGGAAATACTACATTTACATACCCATTTATATGTGAACAGTCATATCAGTATTACTAGTGATAGGAAAAAGCAGAAGCCTGCCAAACCCTTCATTAATAGATGAAACGATAAAACAAAATTCACTAGTAGAATAAGATATGGCAATGAAAAGAAACTACACACTTGATTCATGGATGAGTATGTGACAGACTTCAAAAATACTATCATAAAGTGAAAGAAACCAGAGAAATGACATGTTGTCTGATGCCATTAGTATCAATAGTCCTTTAAAAGCAAATACAGATAAAGAAAACCAGCATCTCCCTGGGGAAGGGGTGGGGGGACAGTGAGAGCAAGAACCCCTGTCAGGAACTGGGACTGTCAGTTAAAAGAAACGGGGAACTGTGAACGTGGCATGGGCTGGGCAGCAAGGCAGCATTTTATAGAATTTATTCTCCCAAAAGCACATCTAACAAGGCCATGGGGGAATACTGTAACATACAAGAGTAACAGCCCCACTCGCACACAGACAATGGTAGGTTACACTTTATAAACTACATTCAAGCCAATTTTTTTTTAAAACAACCTTGTCAAATCCTCAGTAGATTCTAATAATCATTTATAATGTCACTGAACATAGGTATCAAAAATACACTGTGAAAACAGAGAAAAGTGGTTACAACGCTATCTAAATAACCGCAGCAAATATTTACAGTGTATGCAACTGGCAGCATCGCATGGAGGGAAGACAGAGTCCATCTTGTTGAGAAAAGAGTAACAACAGGTGGTGACACACACAAGGGAACAGCAGGCATCATGGAAGGGGACGGGTTCCATGGGTCTCTGGGCAGCAAGCAATGTCTGTGAAGAAGGAGGCATCCGTGCGTCCCAGAGTAAACACAGCTGTTGGGGTAAACCAGGATCTGACCTGGTAGTATGGATATGGCATTGGAGACAAGGGAGCTGTCATTTTCAGTTACAAGTTGTACAGTTTACTTGCAAATCCTTTCATCATGAAGCATTTCCAGGAAATGTCTCGGAGAACAGAAGCTTGGCCGCTTCGTACAGTGACCCTGAGTAAATTACTCAAACCTCTGTCCCTCGTGTTCCCCCCTACACAACCCCAAGATTAAAAACAGACTTAAGGCACAAAGCTCAGAGGCCCCCTCGAACTCTGCAGTTTCTCACTTCAGGAGCAAAGGGCAGGGTCATTGGCATAACCTAGCTGTGACCTGCTGAGTCTCCCAGTGTCCTCAGCTTCCTCACATCCACAGGTCACCGGGTCATGACGTGGCCACTTCCCTCTCCATACCACCATTCTCACAGTTTAACTCCAATAGTGCAATACTTCCTCACAAAATTCCATCAATGCTCCTTTATGGACTTAGGAGTGTCTTACACTCGGAGAAGTTATGTTAGCTAATTAATGTTTAGGATTTGTTGCCTCTGACACATTTAAGTTTTACACATTTTTCTGAAAGTATTGCTTTTTCGGAGGTTTGTGACTTCCCACATGGTAATTCTTTGAACACTTTATTTTTAGGGGCATGTGTGAAGACATGAGTACACAAGAGTGAAGGTACTCACAGAGGCCAGAGACATCTAATCCCCTGCAGACGGAGTTACAGGAGGCGTGGAGCTACCTGACAAGGGTGCTGGGAACCAAACTTGGATCCTCTACAAGAACGGTGTGTGCTCCTAACCGCTAAGCATCTCCCCAGCCCCTCTACATGTTGATTCTTAATCTACTGACTATATAATAGTTTCTGAAAGATTTAGAAAAAAAATTAAAGAATGCGTTGGCAGAGAAGGTGAGTAGGAATTCACAATAAACTTGGGGGGTGGAAGGGTTGTGTCATTACAATTTGACATGCTAATTTACAATTTGAGTGTTCACCATTCAAAAGCCACACATTACTAAAGATTTTAATGCTATTCTAACTTCAGATCTCTTCTCCTTCATGTATTTCAGAAAGGTGGTTAGTCCCAGACACAGACATCTGAGCTAATACCTATGTCACGGAAGAGGGACCACACTGGGCACAATACTTGTAAATAAGGAACTCCAGAGCACAGCTTCTATAATCACTGCAGCACAAAACAGAAAAGCTTCGATAAAGACACACATGTGCTCAAATCATCAACAAAACCTTGTATAAGAAATCAGATGCTTAAATCTGATTTAAAAACAAAAAATCTGTGTGGGGAGGATGCTAGTATTCAGGCATCTTCGGTGGCCTGTCCTTGGGGTTCTGACAGGATATATCCTCAGCTGCAGCCATTAAGAGCACCACCTGTGCTTGGTCCTGCCTCAATGATGGGACAGTAGACTTCCTAGGGGAGGCCTTACCCTCTCCGTGGAGCAGATGGAGGGGAGGGG